AAAAATATTTACTGCTGTATTGATCCTATATTTCCGATTCTTAATAATCTTAAACCATCGGAATCATTAAGCTTGCCATCATAGTATAAAATCATATTTTAAGAACCCTAATGTTTTGGATTAGTCTGGACATTATAATGGGCATGACTTGTTTCAAGTTACTCGATTATATCAAAATTATAGATATTGTAATGTTATTTTACATTCATTGTAGACTCTTTCTTAGCCTAACCTATAGAAAACATTACTACCCACTAGCTTTTACCCGCGACTTCCTCCGCGTGACCGGGATATATTTATTGACTGGGATGAATAGTAGTTTATGTCCTTCTCAATCCCAAACAGTACAAGTATACACCAAATTTTCTGGCAATATTTTGAGGCGGTAAAGTGCTATGAAATAAAAAAAAATCGAGGGAAAGGGATTGTTAGCAATAGGGTCGGACAGCCCGGTTACTAGCAATCCCATCAAGTCGATCTCCACGCGGTTCCCCTTGGAAAAAAGCATCGTGGTTAATTCTTGTTGAATTCGTCACGATGGGCTAACTGATTGGGCACCGGCGTATACCGATAGCGCAAACTGGGGTTACAATTCCATAAAAAAAAATAAAGAAACCCACTACCACATCCTTATCAATATAATAAATGCGAAAGTGAATTTGTGTGTTTGTTACCTCTTAGTGCTTTAATGACTTAACCGGTCATTATAAAATTTAATTACGTTTTATTTGGTATCGAGAAGGATATATGCTACTTCATTTTCATTCCAATCAGTGAACATATCCCGGTTATGCGGACAAAGTCGGTGGTAAAAGCTAGTCTACAATATTAGTAAAGATAACCTGAATTAATTTATCTAGACTTAATGGAACTACACGGTTGAGTAATTCCAAGACCATTTGAATTTCTACGAATGCCGGATCCAATCTCTTCTAGCGTTTTCGGTTATGTCCGGGGCAATGTGCCGGTCACTATAAATCGGCCAATGAGAAGTAGTGATTTAATCGGAAACCCAAGGGTCCCTCAGGAAGCCCATTAAATCGTATGGTCAGAGGATAATTAATTCGGTGGTAACGTTCCAAGTGAGATTAATGGAGGTCTTGGAAATCGAGAGCACTTTTCAATGGCCGCTCTAACATGTTCATTGTTTAGTCTCGTAATTGATGGATATTGCACTGAATTTGCGGAGAACATGTATATTTCAAACCGACTTCAAAAAGAAGCAGATTCTCAATTCGGTTGTATATTTTTTATGTTTGTTACCTAATTGTCAGTTCTAAACAGATTTCAAAAATTATTTTTGTATCTGAAAGGATATTAAAATAATTTGTTACAATTGAAGTTGGTTTTTTGTGGGATACAATATTTAATTATGGGGGGAAAGGGATTGTTAGTACTGGGGTCTAAAAGCTCCATTGCTACCAATGTACCCTATCAGGTCGACCTTTACGCGGTTTCCCCTGGAAACCATCGTGGTTAATTCTCGTGAAATTTTTCACGATGGGCTAACTGACCTGCTTTCATCCTCACTTATCACCTCTCACTGATGCCCGCCAGCATATATCGATAGCGCAGGTGGGGTTACTATTTCATTATTATCAATTAAAAAAATCTCTAATTGTGCTACGTGTCTAAATGTGTCCTATTGTGTGTGTACTTACACTACTTACACCACTTGGCCAACTTTCCAATAATATAATTTATATTGTGTTCTACAAAAACAAAAAATAGTTATTTTGATTTAAAAAGTAAACTATTGTACCATTTTATTAAATTTTCTATGGGACCAATCTGTAAGTACTCCCTTTTAGATATATAAAAGAACTTTGCAAATCTGTTATATCTGACGGAGTTAAAAGTTGACATAGTGTATGAAATTATTGTATCTACTATAACATTCAAATACAAATTTTTGTTTATGAATAAATAAAATAAAAAAAAATAAAAATAAAAAAAGTACAACTGAATTGAGAGCTTCCTTCTTTTTGAAGCCAGTTTAAAAACGAGCTACTAGCTTTTTACCCACTATATCTTAAATCGATTAAAATATAACCATAGCTGATGCAATGATTTGTATACATACAAATTTGAACATAACGTGAAATTGAGCGGATAAGTAAATTGTAACAAACTTTATACCATAAAAACTGCTGCCTAATAGACCATTGGACTGATTACTTGAAATCCTCTCAGACTATTTAGTGCTATTTATAGATCCCCCAAAAATTGGTTAATTTTAATTCACATAAGTATTTTTCTTAAAAAAAAAAACAAATAATACAGTACAATTTAAGTAGGCCGCCGAAACACAACTTTTGAGCAATATGATGTCAGTGACGTCACATGGAAGTAAACAATTATCGAGCGTCATACACGAGTTTAAGGAGTATTTATTTTTACCGTTTTCCAAGAAAAAATACATACAAATGGTGTGTTGTATCACACAATTTGTATGTATTTAATTTATTTTATTGTATCACACACCAGAGTGCATAAAGACTACTATAAAAACACAGAGAAAAATATTCATTAGTATGCTAAAAACGCTCATAATATGCAAAAAGTGGATGGAACTTTTTCATAGAAATACTAATGCAATAGTAGATGATACAATTATTTTGTTTTGTAAATATTATTATCATGTAAGAAGCAAAAGCCAGTTTTCAGCAGTGGACAGTATGGCTGATATCACCATGCTGCAATACGGCGACTATATTAGATGAGAATCCCCGAAATTTGCACAGGTACCAAGATAACACTTTCCATATGGTCCAAATCATTAACTGGTAACCAATGAAATAAACATGTCCTTTAAAAATTAACTCTTAACTATTAATAAAGAGAGAGAAAAAAAGAAAGGAAAACCAATTTGTCGTATTATCAGCTCACTACCTACTCCACAGTTCTTGGCAGATTGATAATGTTTACCTGTAAAGAAAAAGAAAAAGAAAGTAAATATTTAAAAAAAAAAAATACAAAACAATAAAATATTATTTTTTTAAATAATAATGGATTATTTATAAATAGTGCTGCGCTACATTTGCAAGCTCCAACCTTAAGATTCCTATCATTGATAGGAATTAGTAGCGAATTAAAAAAAAATGTGAGCACAAAAGATCATGGAAATGATGCAGTGTCACAGATTTTATCTAGAAAAACCCTGTTTTTCAATAATAATAGTAGTACTGCACTAAGATTTTTATACAGAACATTTGTAAGGTATGACTGTTTGAGTGAGTATATTCAATTTGATTTTTTATTGTTTTTTTATTTTATTTTATTGGCACATAAAACAGATTACAACCATAAAAAACTTAAGTAATAATTACATTTGTGATTCGGCTAGGCTATAATCCAATTACATTATGTGCACAGCTTGAGTAATTCATTAAAAGCAAACACATAATATAAAAAGAATTACTTAAAATGTTATATAAATATATAAAAGACACATTTAGATTACTATATAAATGATATATATATATATACCTACCTATATATACATATATATATATATATATATATATATATATATATATATATATATATATATATATATATATATATATATATAGCTGTAAATTTTATAATTTTTATTATTTTAATCTGAAACAAAATTTTTGAGCTACTGGTTTTCCGTTATACAATAATTTATAACTTAGTTCCAAAAAAGATACCAAGTTTTATTGTGTTAAATTTAAAAACCTTAATAGATTTATTAATTTTAATGTTTACTATTGTAAATATTATTAAAAGCAAAAAAATTATCAAAATTGATTCATTAAAAAAATCAGTATATGTTACACACAAAAAAGGTCGACAAATTAAAAATTTTCTTCTTTTTGAAGTCACTCTTAAAAAGAAGCCTTCTTTAGCATACAGCGCTTTGTGTTTTCCAGATAAAGTCAAAAGAATTGCCAGCAACAATAAACACAGTAAGTTCGTAAAATTGTAATTGTGCATATCATCATCATCATCATCATTTCAGCCATTATCCATCCACTGCTGGACATAAGCTTCCCCCATAGACTGCCATAAAGAACAGTCCTGAGTCACCTGCATTCCCCGAATCCCTGCAATGCATTTCAGGTCACCACTCCATTTAGTAGGGGGTTGTCCTACACTAGATGAAGTGACTACACATTGTGCATATAGATAGACATAATTCAATAAATAAAAAATAAATACAGAAATACCACTAGGCATATTACACAGCATCGTGTAGTCCCAAATAAGCCACTGACAAATATATTCATATACTTTTTTTTTACAAATATGAAATGATATGAATAATTGTATTCCGCAGAGATTGAATCTGACTTATCATGTATATCACCAGCAGGTGAATTAATGTGCCAACCAATACACAACTAAAACTGTCTAACAATAATTAAAAAAAAATATTATTATCTCATAGAAGTATGAAATTTCTTTAGGTGATGATAGGTTAGTATTTAGAAAAAATAGTTGTAGATTACACATAATCACATTATCATATAGAAATGCATATTTTATATATTAAATTATCAAGAAAATTAAATATTTATATCAAGTCAGTCAAAACACTTGCATCAAGTAAATTATGTAAATTAATTATTTAACAAAATGTTAATACTTTTTAAAGGCCTATGTTCAATATCGGACAGAAAACAACTGAGGTGATGATAATAGTCTATCTATCTATTTAAGAGCTGCGCTCTTGTCGGTGGAGCTCTTGCCACTCACTATGATTTTCATCGAGTCTCTTCACCTCTTGATACGACACAACACCAACTCCTTCCTTGATCTGCCTGATGTAACTATGTCTCGGTCCTATGATAATAGTATGGTATATAATTTTATATTTGGATAATTGATGTTTTTAAATAGAATACATGTGTAATTAGTGAAAATAAAATAATTTCTTGCCCTGTGTGTATGTCAACATAACCTCAATTACAACAATACAAAAATGTTAACCGGCAATTTTGTGAGTAATTAAAACATATTGAAATATGTACCTGGTATTGTGTTTCGTCTCCGTGTTCCTCCAATTGCTTCAGATTCACACATAATAAACAATTTTTCGCAGCATTCCAAGCGTATAACACATCGTCCTTTAATTCTAATAAATTACACAACATTCCATTGGGAATCTCTTTTAGACCGTCTTTTATTTCATGAAATATTTTATGGTTCGCCAATTTAGTTTCATATAAACGAGAATCCATTGCGAATTTTATTAAAATTTCAACTTGTTTTGTTTAGACTGCAACTTTCGTTAGACACTTCACAACTTGACAGATAAAATGGCGCCAATATCCAATAGTCACGTCGAGAAATTGAGTTATATGAAATAACTTTTATTATCTTTCCGCATAAGGATACTTTTTAATTGTTACGTGAAGAGACAATGCCCTACACACTTTGGTATCATTATAACGTGCATTGCGTTTGGATACTGCTTTAACTCTACAAAACGCCAGGGGATCTGAAAAAGATAATTTTGTTACCTTACTAATATAATAAAATTGTAAATAAATGATGTCTGTTCATGGGAGATATTTAAGAAAAAATAATATCAGGGGTATTAATAAGATCAATAGATACCAAAACTTTAATATTTAATTTTTAGAAATTTTGTTTTAGAATGTTTGTTCAGGCATCGTGCAAAAAATATTTAAACATATAAAAATAATAAACAAAAATATTAAGGAATTTACGTAAGAAGGAACCAATTCTATAAAAACCGACTTCTTTAAATTAGATTAGAAACATTAACTTGATTAAATTAATAATTAGTCACTTATCATCTGGTTTGCCCCCTGTGTTATAAAAAAAATTAAATATATCGGGATAGACATTTTTAATTTTTCGAAGGCATACTTAAAAAAAAATAAGGTTACCTCAATTTGTGTTCAAGGTATGTTTGTTGCCTCATAACTACGTCAGTTATAAACCGGTTCGGAAAATTATTATATTGTCTAAAAGAATGTATTTACAGATTGGTCTCTTATAAATATTACCAAAATCGGTTCAGTAAATAATTTTAAAATAAAAGTAACTTTTGCTACAATTGAAGTCGATTATTTTTAGAATACAATTTTAAATTATATTATTGGAAGGTTGATAGAGTGCTACAAGCTCATATATCATGTATTTATTTAATTTTATATCAGAATTCGATTTTCTCAAACTATCCGCTAGAGGCGCTGTTAAGTTTTTATTATCAATTTATCGATCTAAAATTAAACTTGCTGAATCTTAACATAAATCTTTATACAATTCATATTAACTACTACGGTTATTTTAAAATAATTATACCTAGTTCAAATTTGAGATGACTGTCTTAGTTTTGCAAGATTTATAGTAGAAAAATTAGGTCAACTACTCATTCATAGTCTGTGGTATTAACCTACTGGGTAGAGCTCTAAGTGGTATAAAAAAAATATTAGCATTTGTAAAAAGTTTACTACTATAATTTTTTTTTGGGGGAAACAATAAAGAGTATATATCTACTTATGTGTTTAAAATTTCACACATACACTCTTAAACATAATAACGAAACGTTTATCTAATAAACAAGCAATCAGTGGAGTACAATCTGATGAAAATATAACGCCCCCTAACCCATATGGGAAGGTGGGGGAACGGTTCCTCGCACTTGTACCAGCTGTATTTCACTTTGATTTGGAATGGTATCACGTAATTTCATCTCCCAGTGTACGGGCCGCGCTTTCTTATAAATAAACCGAGATATAGGCAACAATAAATTTTGTTTTCAGATTTCGTACGTGTACCTCGTTGTAATTTAATTCTTGTTTACTTTAAAGCTTCGCGGATTGCTGTTGGCAGTGACTGAGGGCGTGGCTGGTCCGGGTGTTAGTCTCATCGATGCGATGCGCTCGAACGGTGTAATTTGAGATAAAACATGCGAATGAATGAATGAATGAATGGTTTATTTTCTCTTCACAAAAGGTAGTATAAAGTGACAACTTGATGTACAATTTGATATGTAAAAACAATTTTGTGTGAGACTGACGCTTGCGGTAGGTTTTGAAGAACCTGTGTTACAAGTCACCAGTGCCCCATCTCTATGGACTAATAGAAATACAAGGCAACCAATTAGTGTTATAATACACAGATGACAATAATGAGATATAAAGTGCGAAAGTAAACTTAACATTAAAACTTATTTCTAATAATTATTAATTATATATAACTTAATTATAAAGTACAGACTATGTGTGCGTGTGTGCGATTGTGCGTGTGTGCGATTGTGCGTGTGTGCGATTATGCGTATGTGCGATTGTGCGTGCATACGTGTGTGTGTGCGTGTGTGTGTGTATGTGTGCGTGTGTGTGATAAAACATGTGTACTAATTATATTTTTCAAGTAAATAGGCATTGGTAATAACAATACCGCTGTAATATGTATATATCGACTGCCTCTGGAGATTGCTGACGGGAAAAAGGTTGTACCCTATTTCGGTACCGTCCATACCTGTCTGATGTTTATGTTAATTCCGTTGGTGTTCTATTGGATAACCAATATTTAATGTGTCCATTATTGGTATTTTTTTTTTGTAGTTAGTTACATTACAGGGTTTGGTATCTCCTGTTAAGCAAAGATTGCTTGTGTTAGGAGAAATCGCTCTTTCATAAAAATAATTAAATTTCATAATAATTACAATTTACTTTTCCTTTTTTTTAATCAGCATTAAAAATTTTACTTTGTTTTACTTTTATACAATAATACTAAAAAATTTACATATCATTATGTTTAGTATTGTATATAGATATACTGTATAGACTCGGTGGATGAAGTTGAGTAGTACAGACTAAATGGATTTTTTTTTATACAATTTAGAATGGCAAACAAACTGACGGCCCACCTGATCGAAAGTGGTAACCGTCGCCTATAGACATAAGCAGTACCATGGACATAACAGAGTATACTGTTTCGCCTATGATACCCCCCATGCGTTGCCATCCCTGAGGACTCAGATGTTACTCCTCTGTACCCAGTAAATTCACACCATATCCCACCCTTAAAACCGAAACACAACTATATAAACACAACTGCTTGACGGTAGAAACACGAATGGGACAGAGGTAACCAAGCAATCGACTTTTGTACAGTCTCCCTCTGGTGCACTGGGATGGTAATGGAATGGTAACTCTCCAATATGTCAATCATGTTGCTAGAATATATATATATATATAAATCAAGGTCACGGTATACGTAATGAAACGAGGCTCTCGTCTCACTTGGATCTATTTTCCTTACGTATTACTAATTTATATGATAATTTTTCCTTCAAACCTCAAAGGTATTAACTTCTTGAGTCTTCATACCGGAACTTATCAAAGTGTTACAATTATCGTTAAATTTTTTATTATTTTTTTTTATACCACTGTGGTTGCAAACAAGCATATGGCCCACCTGATGGTAAGTGGTTCCCGTAGCCTATGAACACCTGCAATATCAGAGGTATTACGCGCGTTGCCGACCCTGAAGAAACCTCTTTAACCCCCTTTTGAAGAACCCCATGCTGTAGTCTCTTAATATTTCCAATTAAGCATATTTTCAAACAATCTACCTGATATGTTAAAATGTAAGCCTTAAACCCGATCCGGATATGTTCACTAAACGGAATAAAAAAATAGCTTAAGTTCTTCTCCATCCAATATAGTAAGTGGGGGGAAAGGGATTGTTAGTAATGGGGTCAAATAGCCTTATTAATAGCAATATACCCTGTCAGGTCGACCTCTACGTGGTTCCCCCTGGAAACCGTCGCGGCTAATTCTAGTTGAATTCGTCAGGATGGGCTAACTGATCTGCTTTCATCCTCATCAGTCATCTATCACTGGTGCCCCGCCAGTGTATACCGATAGCGCAGGCGGGGTTACGAGTACCATACCATTATCACCTTTTAAAATATATATGTAGTATCTACAGGTATACACGAAATTTCATAGTGATTGGTTAATATATTAAGGCGATAATCACTACATAGTATAAAACAAAGTCGCTGTCGCTGTCTGTCCGTCCCTATGTATGCTTAAATCTTTAAAACTACACAACGGATTTTGAAGCGGTTTTTTAATAGATAGACTGATTCAAGAGGAAGGTTTATATGTATAATACATGCATAATATTGTAGAGAAACACTGATAATTTTAAAGGTTTCTAATGTGATGTGATGTAATGTGCACCCGAGCGTAGCCGGGGGTTAAATCTAGGTAATAAACAAACAAATTATCTTTTGTAAATTTTTACAAGTGCAATAATGAATATATATATATATATATATATATATATATATATATATATATATATATATATATATATATATATATATATATATATATATATATATATATATATATATATATATATATATATATATATATATATATATATATATATATATATATATCCTACACAAATGCGCAAAATACAAATATTTGATACGTACGCGTCGACACGATAACTTCTCCCCATTTGTTTTTTCCCACTCGAAAATTTACCTTTATTTTTCTCAGCTAACATATCATCGGAACTTCTGAAAGATTGCTATAAAGCACCAAAGATCAATGTCAAAACATCGCAACCTGAATAAAATATAAGGCGATGCGAACGCGAGGTCCCGTGTTCTGAGTGTAATACTATTGATAAATTTAGCAGCGTCTCTCACATGATATTACGGAGCGATGGGCCACCCCGCGCCCGATCTATTATTATGCTGGGCAGGTCGCGACGTATGAATTGTGTAGGGGTGTCAATTATTTTTTTTTCCAATAATTAAAAATATGCAAAAAATCAGTTTAGAAATCTTTTGCTCCGTGATGTAGGCTTATCTAAAATGTGACAGTAAATTTTCAAATCCACCTGAGTAATTGTATTTGCGTGGCTGTGTTTCGGTTTAAAGGGTGGGATATGGCAGTGAATTTATAGGGTACAGAGGAATAACACCTGAGTCCTCAGGAATGGCAACGCATGGGGGGTATCATGGGCGAAACAGTACACTCTGTTACGTCCATGGTACTACTCATGTCTATAGGCGACGGTTACCACTTTCCATTAGGTGGGCCGTCAGCTTGTTTGCCATTCTAAGTTGCATAAAAAAAAACATAAGTATTTTTAATTAATTTTTCAATTTTTGTTTTTCCTTTGGTGCCAACCCTGCCAGCAGCAGCCCGCCGGGACGGCACCGATGACTTGTCATTAATAACGACAGCGGAAATGTATCAAAAGGTGACGCGTGTCCCTCCGACTGTCTCCAGCCTTATTTATGGTACGAA